TAACAATACAACTACAGAACAGGAGTTCAATGCCAAAGACTTTTGATTTTGCAATGCAGTTCCAGTTTAAGATAGTACTGACCTCAGCAGGCTCGGAATACAAGATGTAAACAAATACTTCCTCATCCATCTCAAGCAAAATCAGCCAGATTTGTGCAGCCCATCAAGGTGAATACCACATAAACTAAGAGACCTTGTCACCACTAAAATCACAAACAGGTCAATCGGCAGGAAGGACTATTGGAACACAGCAGACCCATCTACAACCAAAGTAAGCTAGATCTGAGAGAATGTTTGTGTACAACCACAAGCATGTGAGGCAGGCCAAGGCATGCAGGATCTTCAGGAAACCGATCTTTGAAGGCTCATGGAAACCACAGAATAGTTGAAGTTGGAAGGGAACTCTGGAGATTGTTTAATCCAACCCCCCTGCTCAAAGAAGGTCAACAAGGGCAGGTTGCTCAGGGCCACGTCCAGTTGGGTTTTGACTATCTCCAAGGACAGAGACTCCACAACCTCTCTGGGCAACTTGCTCTTACTTGGAAGAGCATTCAATCACCTTTACAGTAAAAATGTTTTTTTTTTCTTATGATTTAATGGAACTGCCTGTGTTTCAATTTATGTCCATTTCCTCTTGCCCTTTCACTGGGCACCACTGAGAAGAGCCAGAGAGTATGTCTTCTTTATTCCCCCATTAGATATTTAGATACATTGATAATATCCCCCCAAACCTTCACTGCTGCAGACTAAACAGTCCCAGCTCACTGAGCCTCTCTTCATGTGAGAGATGCTCTAGTTCCCTAATCATCTTTCTGGTCCTTTGCTGGACTCACTCCAATATGTCTATGTCTAGTAGTGGGGAGCCCAGAACTGTACCCAGCACTCCAGATGTGTCTCACCAGTGCCAAGCAGAGGGAAAGGATCACGTCTCCTGACCTGCTGAAAATGCTCTTCCTAATGCAGACCAAGTATGCTAAATTTCTTTGCCACAAGGATGCATTGCTGTCTTGTATTTGGTTTGGTGTCCACCAGGACTGTCAGGTCCTTTTCTGCAAAGCTGCTTTCCAGCTGTTTGGCCCCCCAGAGCGTACCAGTGCATGGTGTTACTCCTCCCTAGGTACAGGACTTGGCATTTCCGTTTGCTGAACTCCAAGAGATTCCTGTTTGCCTATTTCTCCAAAAGCAACAACGTACCTGTCCTGGTTTTGGCTGGGATAGAGTTAAGTTTCTTCCCAGTAGCTGGCATAGTGCTGTGTTTTTGCTTTAGTATGAAAATAATGCTGATAACACACTGATAGTTTAGTTGTTGCTAAGTACTGCTTATGCTAGTCAAGGACTTTTCAGCTGCCCATGCTCTGCCAGGGGCACAAGAAAGTGGGAGGGGGCACAGCCAGGACAGCTGACCCAAACTGACCAAAGGGCTATTCCATACCATATGACATCATGCTCAGTATATAAACTGGGGGGAGTTGGCTGGGGGGCAGTGATCACTGCTCGGGAACTGGTTGGGTATCAGTGGGCGGGTGGTGAGCAATTGCATTGTGCATCACTTACTTTGTATATTATTATTAGTATTATCATTATAGTGTTATTATTATTATTACTATTTTAATTTATTTTATTTCAATTTTAAACTGTTCTTATCTCAACCCAGGATTTTTCTCACTCTTACTCTTCAGATTCTCTCCCCCATCCCACCAGGGCAGGGGGAGTGAGCGAGCGGCTGCGTGGTGCTTGGTTGCTGGCTGGGGCTAAACCATGACAGTACCTCTGAATGGTAGCACAGCCATGTGGTCATCACCCGCTCCTCCCAGTTTTGCAACATCTGCAAACTTGCTGAGGGTACGCTCTGTCCCATCATCCAGGTCATTAATGAAGACGCTAAACAGTATTGTTTCCAGTATCAATCCCTGGAGTACATCGCTAATGACTAGCCTTCAACTGGACTTCACGCTGCTGATCGCAATCCTTTGAGCCCAGCAGTTCACCCAGTTTTCAGTCCATCTCACTGCTTATTTATCTAGACCATATTTTATCAGTTTGTCTACGAGAACATTATAGGAGACAATGTCAAAAGCCTTACTAAAGTCAAGATAAACCACATCCATTGCTCTTTGCTCATCCACTGAGCCAGAACTACTACATTCCAACTATTAGATTTCAGATGTGCTTCCGAAAGAAATTGGGATTAGAGAGATAAGGGAAAACCGTATATTTGTCTTGAATTCAGAGAGTTACAGATGAAGAAAATAACCTGAGGCTTAGCAAGTCAGTAGACCTGCTTCATGCAGAACAGAACTAACTCTCATTTTTGAGTAAAGTATTGGAGGCAAGTACATTCAAAAAAGTCTTTGAAGAAAGAGCCATGGAAAATTTTATTGGTGTCTTCAAATTCACAGCTGATATGCAAGCAGCACTCTGGAGGTGTCACTGATAGCAGTAACAAAAACCCAAACATATTACAGAGTGAAAGAGATAAAGAAAGAAGTAGTTCCTAAATTATAAGCATTCCTGGTAGTCAACTTTCTAGATACCTAGGTCAAACCACAAGATCCTGAAGCTGGCACATTATTTGGGGAATTCTATGTGCAATTCATTCTTTAACAACCAAAGGTCCCACAAGATTTTGCACGTGTGTAGCATCCATGATGAACTGCAGTTTTTAGCCTGGATTTAGCCTTCCTCAGAAACTAATGGCTCTTTAAAATATTTATCTCCTTCTCCCTCAGTAATGCATTCCCCCCCCCCAAATTTGCCCGAATGCTTTCCTGTTCAAGGAAGATCCAAAAAGATGGTACCAGTGGCCCTCAATCTCCAAGGATTTTTTGCACCCCAATGGAACAGCCATACTCTTCACAGACAGACCATCTCATCATAACCATTCTGAAGTACTTATTTCCGCTTACAAATGTAAGGCAATCATTATATTGTGCTACAAGTATTTAATAAATGCAATACTACACCACTCACATTTCAAATAAGAAAAAAATAAAAAGCAAAGCACCCCACACCACTGCTGCTCACACTAGGGCAGTAACTAAAGAGCAGAATTATCATTTATTTCCCCTTGCCATTATTTTTCGTCTTTCATGTTCTATTTTTAATTCCTACAGTGACAACAGTCATTCTGCTACAGGGTTTATTCATGGAACCGTTTTAGCAGGTACATCAATGCTTATTTCTACTTAGAAAACTAAGTCACTGTCTGTATCAATAAATATGTCTAAGGTGAGCTGCATCAAAATTTGCCCACAAAGATCTAATGATTAAGATATTAAATTGAGATTTTGGGGGTTCAATTCTGCTCTAGTTGTAACTTTGGTCAAAGCGGCCAATGCCAGTTCTTCAGTTCTACATTTATAAACTGAGAACTTTTACGCTAATACTGAGACTATCATTATGTATCATATTATGCATCCTCCTTTAGCCACTTTCCATCATTCTGAAGGGCTCTGTGTTAGAAGATGACCCAAAACAAAAACCTTATTTGAGCCTCAAAAAGTTTCCAAACTGAAAAGAAAAGCTTCTGTAAGACAAACAGCTTCACAGCCAAAGCTGTAAGAGAACTTTTCGAAAGCACTCTTGGAGGTGGATTAGTGCAAAGTGAATTGTGTTAACTTGATCCATCTTTGAAGAAGATTTAATCTAAGGTGACTTTATATTTACATAGACTAAGATCATTGACACAATGGATCAAGATATTTCAATCCTGGGCACTGTAACCTACAGTTAAAAGGATATAGCAAGTAGCTGAGAAGGTAACTTGTTATGCCTCTTTAGCTAGAGCTGTAAAAGCTTGCCTCACTGTAGAACATACTGTCTTCTGCCTTCTTCACTCTCACACTGGTCTAATTATACATACTCTTGTAGCTTTATTTTCCATGACACTATTTAAATACTATCTTCCCAGAACTTAAGTACACTGACAATTGGTCAGAAAGTGCTTGGAAAGAAATCAAGTTATGCAAAATGACTATTTAGGCTGCTGGCAAAAGCAGCCAAAATTGACCCCTTTTTTGTGACAGTATGTGCCCCTCCTAACATGCTGTCCACTGCAACACTCCTGCCAATTCTAAACAGAATCTCAGATTTATTTCTTGTTTAAGTCTTGGTTTTGTTTAAGAGTTTTATCCAGGTACATTACCTTAGCCTCCCACACAAGGTATTATTTGCCCATATAAATCTTTCTAGATATCAGCTTTAAAACATTACCATTCCTGTTGTTTACAATGTCCCATCAATTTAGTTTTGTTTGTGAATGTCAATATTTTAAGTAGCCTTTTCTCCTATGAGGTAGGCTCAAGGATGAAGACTTGTTTTATTACATATCCCCCTAGAGGAACAGGTTTCCAAAAAAAAAGAAAGAAGACACATGACTAAAGAGATGAAGGCTAGGAGACAGTTTAGAAACTAACATGCCAAGAGGTGTTCTCTAGAGATGTGATCCAAGAGGGAGACTAAGGGACTGGGGAAATCACAGCTTCATCACAGGAAGGACTTTTAGAAAGCCTAAAGGAGACAATGACACTTAAGAAAAAATTTGTATATGTTAAAGAGTTTCTAAGCTCATCTTATAACAACTCTTCTCCCATATTAACTAGATGAGCCCTGATTAAAAGAAATTGGAAAAAAACTTACATCAATTACATGTTTTTGATAAATGTGTACTATACACTTGACACTCAAACTGATTTGCACAGTCAACCTGGCTATGTTTCTGTTCGTCTCTAACACACTCATTTCAGCCAGTTTAGAATCGGAAACAACTGTTAAGGGCCCAATGTAATTTTACAGATAAGAGGTAAAAAAGGGGCCAGAAGAAATTTAAAAAGGGGTCAGAAGAAATTAAAAAAGGAACGTTGCTCAGCGTTAACATAAAGAAGAATCTCTTGTAGGAAGAAAAATGTGAGGAGAAAGTATAAGAACCAACTGAGATCAGAAATTCGGAAGAGGCAAATGTGATGACTGTTTCAGGAATAAAAGAAACAGCTTATACTTACCAAATTATCAGTTTCTGGATCTTCACAGAAAAAGGGTTTTCCTTCTTTCTCCTGCTTCCTCACAAAATTTTCAATATCTACATCAAAACTAGCAGAAGTTGTGCCTTCTGAGCCTTGTGTAGATTGTTCACATTTTTCAAATAATAGTGCTAACAAGGGAAACAGTGGGTGCCTAGAATAAAAGTTAAAATACATTAATAAGTATTTTCACTTATACGTACATCACTGAAAAATAAGACATCTAGCTCATATAAGGTAACAGTCACGTAAGAAACAGAAAGACAAGTCTTGGAAGAGACTGCATATAACACCACTGGTTACAGCAAAACATGATGAAAGTTTGGGGTTTTTTTATTTTGATTTACCACACATTCTAGAAGTAAGTAAAGCAGTAAAATATGTGTATTTAAATAAAAAGAACAATCACAAGATAAAAAGCTATGACATACTATTTAACTCACTGTAATTGAGTGGCAAGAGATACATTAATACAGTGCATTAGAAACAAGGATTAGGATTTACAAATAGGATGAATGCAGATTTAAATTACGAAATAAAGTCTGATAAAATTAATTTATTCTTCAATGTGGGCCTTATTTGTACATCACAAATAACTTTACAGAACTGAGAATAATATGCAGGCTGTACTCAGAGGCCTCCTATGAAATCATGCTCGGAGCAGAAGATGATTTTGTTACCACAAGTCTGTAAATGAGCGGATACATCTTTCTGCTTCAGGTTTTTGGTTTGTATTTTTTTTTACCTGCAAACTAGTAATAACTGTGTCTTTAAAAAGCACTTAAAGTGAAAGAACACTTAACCTCATCAAAACTGAGCATACTGCTTAGCACAGCACTTAACACTGGAAAAATCTCAAATTAGCATGTTTATACATCAACATTTAATCCAGTTTGAGCTAATTACTGGGCAATAGATTGTTATCCCTAAAGAAAAGGGAGTAACGATCAACCTAATTACAATAAAAATAAAACCTCACATTAAAAACTACAGTATAACAAATAGTGACCGTAGTTCAACAGTCTGAGTAGCTTGCTAAATTTCACTTGTGCTTTAAAGGCAGCCAACTTTAGAATATCTTTTAAAACTATGCTGAAATTTAAGAATCCCACAATAAAGGCAAATTTTTTTTCTTGGCTGAAGACTGACAGTGAAGCTAATTTGATCTCATTCTTTCCCTGCAAACTACTGAGACAGTTAGCCAAGAGATCATCTGATTTGAAACTACTTATTATTAATAAAAAAAAAAATTCTCTATTCTTTACCATTCAAAAGACAGAACACGAGTCCATTACTACCTGTAAATGGCCTGCTTGTCTGCATCCATTGGAGTTTGAGATTCTACAGGGGCAGGACTCACCCCTCCTGCATCAGTTTCAGAGCAGTTGGGATCTTGTTCAGTTTTTAACTCTGTTACTACTTGCATCTGTAGAAAAAAAAGAGTAAGTTATAAGTAAATCTGTATGCTTGATGTAAAATAAGTGTACTGTTTTCTAAGGAAATAGCAATGCAAAGGGCTACTAAATTGCCAGAAGGTTGGTATGACTTGGCAGTTACACAAAAAGCCATAGCAGTAACAAAACCCTTCTTTAAATCCTTGACACTTTTTGGTGGGTAGTGTAAAGGTCACTTCAAGTTTCAGCACTCAGCTTTAAAATAGGAATGACAGATATTAGTAAATTGTTAAAGCATTTTGTCTCTGAAGTGGCTATTTTTGGAATAGGCTAGAGTACATTGCTCCAAAAAATTTATGGGAATGTCTGCATGAAAAGCCTTTAGGATAAAAACAACAGAAAGGAAAGTTTCTACTCTCATGTTTTCTTTCTTATTTCTTAGGGCACGTTGTATCAGTATACCAAAGAAAAGAGATCCTGAAGTTTTTCCTGTCCATTAAAATGCACATTTTCTTAGGAAGAACTGAAATATTCTGTGTCCCTCCAATCTTTCAATTATCAGGAGCATAACCTCCCCTGACCTTCACTGCTCAAATTTACATACTGTAATAACAAATTATTTTAGGAATATCAAGCTACTGGAGAAAACAGTAGTAACTGCTTCTACAAATCCATTTAACACACAGTTACACATCTACCACCACCGAAAAAACAACATAGAGCCACAGCTTCTACTGAGCACCTCCTAAATTGCACTAGGTGGCTGGTAATGCCTTTGAGGTGCCTTGAAGGTGTTGGAAGTCGTTTTCCCATCACCTCCAGCTAAATAGCTTTCAGACTAAAAGATCTTACAGGAACCTGACCTCTGAAAGTCATAGTTTCCACCCCCCAACCCAAACTCCTTGGTTTTCTCCCCTTTCAGCATTTGGAACAACTGTACAAAGACAAGAAATCACTGCAATCTTTTTTTTTTCTGTTTTTACCCTAAGAAGTTTTATCTCAAGTAGAGGACAGACACTGTTCTAGATATCACCAGGCAGCCAGAATTGACACCCACAGAAAGGAAGTGTACCGAATGCCATACTCTGACCTCTTTTCCCCTGAGGTATATGTATCACATCACTCACAGGAACCCTCCGAGAGGAGAGCTGGCCTCCAGAAACTATTAGAGAACCTGACTCTGACAGAATTTAATCTATTTCCATACAACATAAATGAAACAAATTTATACTATTCCCAATAAGAAGTCTGGAAGAACCAAAAGGTTTCTGCTTTATTACCTGTTGGGGCCAAGCCACCTCCTAGCAAAATCAGAAACTGAGAAAATGCCAGCACATCCTACCCAACAGAGCAGCCTGCCTTGCAAAAAGCTTCCTCAGCAAGCACAGATGATTTTTAAGCCAGAATGCTGGCAAAAAAAGATGCAACTAATGGACTCATTTCTTGGCTAATGACAAGAAGGAGGAGCAAAACAGAAAGGGGATGACTCATATAAGCGATTATAAATGTTGAGCCATACATCTGCAGAGTTTGAAGGGAGAGAGCATGTTTAGTTAGGGCTCTATCTCACCAGAAAAAGGAAATAGCTCACTTAAAACTGCAAGCTATATTCTGTGGGCCATTTCCAAATGACAAAAGCAGCAGGCATCCAAATTACCTGTCTATCTTGGTCACCGAGAGCTTAAAATACAAAACCAGAAAGAAAATGCTCTCTCCCAATCCGTTCTTTACAAAAACACGTATTACTTTCACTGACGTGTTACAGGATGGCATGTATTTTCTGGGGGAATAAAGTAAAAGATGTAAGGAAGGTGAAAGGAGAGGGAGAAATTAGAATTGCAATAAAAGAAGCAAACAACAACAGCAAAAATCAATAATCCCAGATTGCATTCAGATAAACTTTTTTTTTTTATAAGAGATGGGAAAAGTTGCTGTTTTTCTTCTGACTGTTCGCCACTGTTGCCATCTGCTGACAGAAGTACGTGTATTTACTGCTTAGGGCTGACACATAGTAACGTAAAAATGGGTCTTCAGAGTACAGGCCACCGTCATGACTTGTCTCTAGTTAACAGTACTTTAATTTAGCAATTCAAATTGTTGCAATATACAGCCTGTTGTACAAAAAAGAAACATCATGAGCAGACGTATCTGAGTATGTTTCATTATTCTAGCTGTTTGTTAACAGAAGTAAAAAAACTGGAAGCCCACTGACCAGCTTTCTAATTAGCAATTCTAATCAATAACCACATTAAAGTGAATTCAAGTATTTTACCAGTTTTCAGCCTGCAGGGTAATTGCATCAACTTAAATGTAGTCAAAGTAGCATATAACTCTAGGCAACTAAATTTAACCTTCTCTTGCTCAAGACCAACAAGTCTATGACTGTGTAAATGTCATCTATCTATTGTCACCGCAGACACATAAGAACACTGAAGTATCATATACGCAAAATATTACAGATGCCCATTTGACTTTCCTAAAACTAGGAACATTACAGCACACAAATCATCTAGAGCAGATTCAGAAGAAAACCCCTTATCTAACCATTCTTCCAGAAGTTAAGCAAAGTCATGCAAAGATTAGCTAAGCCTTTAATAAATATCCAAGTATTAAAGAATAGCAGCTTTTCACTTTAAAGATCTTGTTTTACAAACAAGAACAGACATTTAAACAATGCCAAAGCAGACATTAAGGAAAGAGACACTACCTTTTTTCTCTTGCTAAGTGTATTTAGTTCACAGAGAAAGAAAAACACACCTACCTGTTGTCCATCTTGATAGTTGTCTATACTTAATGTCTGTGTTGCCATCATGGTTAATAAAACGTTAATTATGTCAAATCATCATAAGTATGAACAAATATTCTTTAAAAAAAAAAAAAGTCAGTTACAAAAGTGACCACTTAGAATCCAGTTCTAAAAGATGAAAAAAAGGCAAAGATTTACGCACACCTCCCCCCAAAAAATAAGCAAGTTTGACAATGACAGTTATGTGCATTTTCTCAAAAAAAAAAAAAAAAAAAAAAAAAAAAATCAAGTTGGAAAATGCAACAGGTTTCATCAGCAAAAAGTTCATTGTATCATTTTATATTTTAACGTAAGATTTTTAATAAGAGGCTGAGGTTCTTTTACGTTCACAAACTTGAAGTAAACTTTTTATTTTTGCACTACTTAGCTAACTTATTCTAAGGTAATACATAAAATCTAGAAAAGAGCAAAGATTTATGTTTCTGTGTTTTGTAAAGGCTAACAACACACTGAGCACTACTGTAACTGAAATAATTATAGTCTACAACCAATAAACCAAATGCAAAAAGTGTTAAGGTATACCCTGTTTATTTATAGGTACGACTCCCATATTCTAAAGTTATGGCCTGAAATTACTTTTAGAAACCAAAGTCTCAAATCACTTCTGACATCAGGACTCTACCATTCAAGTCATTTAAGGCTCAACAAAGAATGAAACAATATCTTAACAACTTTTAAACAATTGGGCCTATGTGATATAGTTTCAAAAGTGACCTAAGGATTCAGAAGTCTCGTTTTCACAGACATTGATACTTTGGGAAATATTAATTTTAGTAGGATTATAACACAAGTAAATTTATGTATGTTATCCCCTCTAAGCATTAGCTGGAGTTTGGTGCCCAGATGCGTTAAACATTTTTTTAAAGTTAGACATTTGAGGGTGGGGGGTAGGGAAATTCAGCATAGCACCACCACCAGGTAGTTTATCCATCAAATTACTAATTTACATTTCATTTCCTTGTCAGATTAGGAGCCATTACAACTGAAATCACAGAAGTCATTAAGCTATTATCATTAAATATTACCATAGGACTCAATTTTCCTTCACACACAGGAGTCCTAATGCTTAGCTACTATAAAAAAAGTATTCATATTAGAAGAGAAGATGGAGCTCATGTCTTGAAAAAGATTACATCCAGCTATTAATTCCAGGTTTTCTGCTCTCTTCCACTTATGTCAGTATCAGAGAATTAAGTAGTAGAATTTTCACCAGTTTAAGATCTGAAACAAAAACTTTTTTCCTTGTAATGTGTTCAATCACTACTAATTTTTCAACTATCTTTAAATCTGCCCTTCACCATTGCATACTACTACAGTATATGACCATTATGAAGAGCAATTTTTCAATTTCTGGATACTTTCCCGTACAGATTATAATAGTCTCAAGTAAATGTTTCATTTAGGAAATACAGGACAAATTTCAAGATTCCCTTCTTTGTTTACTTCACAATTTCAGGCACAGAGACAAACCTAACTCCTCAGGACAAACCTCAAGCCCTACTTTGCATCAAGCTCTATTCAAAGTGTGATTCCTAAGCATTACTAAAATTTCTTTTTCCTTTCTTTTTTTTTTTTTTTTAACCCAGCTTTAAAGACCAGAGAAGTTCACCAGGATGACATAAGCATGACTTCCTTTACAAACAAGGTTATTGACTTTCACTCACTCATGCTTAAATGGAGCTGTTACTCTTTGGGAGTCTGTGCCATTTTACACACACAAAAGCATCTTGGGAACCACAAATATGAGCAGACAGATCTTGGTTCTGGCATTGGGTCACATGCTTGCAGAGCTGAACAAGTTTTATCTGTAGACAACATGCACATACCATCCTAAGTAGCTTGTGGAATACTAACTAAAAGGTATGCTACAGTTTGGGAACTCCTATGCTAAAGTATAAGAATAAGAATACAATTTACAGAGGAAAAGAGTAAAGACTGCATTTAGAGGTCTTCTAATAGCCTTAATGAAATTATTTTCTGGTTCTAGTTTGTCCTTCTGTCTTTACAGAACATCAGTACCTCCTTCTTGGAAACTCCAAAAATATTACTGATTTCTCCACCAAAATAAGAAAAAGAATGGGAACAACATAAATGCAATCACTGATAGAAGTACTTCAGATTTTTAATTTTTTTAGAATAGCTACAAGTCATTAATGTTAAAGTTAAATCAGCATTCACCACAATAGCAAAGTGAGGTATCTTTCAAAATACTTTAAGGGGACATATTCTTAAACATCAGCCCTGTAAGCATTTGTCTTACGTTTAAACATTTATTTTCTTTCAAAAATGGTAGCTTACAACTGGGGCGTTAGTGTCTTTATGTATTTATAGAGTGAAAGGGCACATACAAAATGCTGCTTTTCTTCCTTCTCAAAAGGCACACATTTAATTTCTGACTGCCACATCCAAAGCACAGACCAAACTACCCTCAAAATAAAAGTAGAACAGTTGAACAGATCAACAAAGAGTAAACACTATTCCGTGATTGTTTTAGAAGCTGAAGAAGTTCCTCACAAAATGCTGTTAAAGAAATTGTTTGGCTGTGGGAGAAAGATGAATTTCTTAGTCAGGAAGGAGGAAGAAAGAAGAAGTAAAACAGTCATAGAAGAGGAAGGATGTCTTAGAGTTAAGCAAGGATGTGAGATCATATTAGTGACACAAAGAACATCATGGTGAGGGAAGCAGCAAAGATAACACATGTAAGCTGGTGAAGACAACAGGACATGGCAAGAGTTTCTGGAGAATCAGACAAGCTGGACCAACCCTTCCTTCCAGATTTCCCTAAGAAGAGACATTCCACATCTGGGAATCCCTCAGGCCACATGAAGGAAGAAAGAGGTGCACCGCTTTGAGCTGCATCCATCAATTATTTCATCAGGGACTTTTGCCCTATTCTCTCCCATGGGAGCAGCTGGAAAGAATTCTACACGGGTGTATCCTGTATTTCCCATAAGAGCTTCCCCTCTGACTTATAATTACAGTAGAAGAAGACTAAGCTATTAGGCAAGATAGCAACTGATGAGATTTAGTGAAGACAACTATTGCAAATCAAGAAGAACAAATTGAGCTAATCACACACTTAAATTGAGGCAATTAGCTGAGGAATTACTTTGGTTCACTAAAGAGAAACATGTTCTCATTACCCAGTAGTGGTAAGAGACAAACTATGTTAAACTTTAAGAAAAATAACCAAAAAGGTATTTACACATTTGGCTTTTATAACCTAATTTAGGATACAGCATCCAGTTCTAGTCAGCAGATACACAGCCTAAGCAGATGTTCGTTCTGCAAACAACGATGCTAGACAAAGCTGGTATCGCTCCCAGATGTTTATCACTGCCACCCTGCCAGAGCTAATTACTTCCACAGCTCTACCACTGAGCCCACAGAACACGTGAATGATTTCTGATCCTTTTTACTAGTCAGCTAGGCTAGTTCAACCCGCTGTTAAAGGTGGCTATGATGTAAGCCAGCTGACTTTGTCTGAAGCACATTGCTGTGCACTCATACAACCCCTGCTCTTGGCTGACCTATTAGTGTGGTAATTTCTGTCTCATGTGTGGCGATTATCAACTCACAGCAGGACCATCTTTAACCAGCACCACTATACCCAATCCTATATGGCCTAAGGTATCTGAAGTGGGCCTAAAAACACATGACTTCTGGACAACTTAGCTTTAAAAATGCCAATTATTCTTTGTTAAAGAAATCAAGAGTAGAGGGAAAACTGTGCATTTGTGTTATATTCAAAGAGTTACAAATAAAAAAAAAACCACCCCACCCTAGGCTGAGAGAGTCAGCCAGTCTGCTTCATGCAGAACAGAATTAACTCTCATTCTATTTATTTTGAAAACAAAGTGGGAGGAAAACCCAAGGAAATGTTTAAGGTCATGTAAACTGGAAGCTGATGCATGAACTGCGATCAGAAACTCCATTGATGTCTGTGGTGAAAGGGAATTCATAAAAGCATTGTGTTCTGCAAAACAAAGCGAAAGAAAAAAAATTCAAGCCTTTAATGAAAATAAGTATGAAGGTAAAACATAGAGTAGAAAGGAAGCTAAATTAAGATGGGTAATCATAATTAGAAACATGGAGCCTTTGTGCAAGTTAAGGACTATCTAAGAGAAGAGATTAAAGGTGAGCCGAAACATGCACACAAAGTGATCACTTAACATACATCACCCCTCACTTGCTCTACTTACTCCTTCATAATTAAGAGCAAAGGGACCACCCAGTAACGTTAACATAAGGTGCAAGTAAGCTGTTGGAGTTCAGTAATATCATTTTTAACATATACAAGCTACAACAGATGTTTGTAAGAGATATAAATAGTTATGCTTCAGGGCATAAACCAACCACTAACTGTCTTAGGGTTGTGAAGAAACTACCCAACAGACTTGTTAACAAGTAATCATTCCTTCTAATTTTCCCCTATACATGTTCCTTTGAAGTCCTTCAGAGAGAAATGGATGATTGGCAGATTTAGCATGGCCATTTGTTCATTCTTATTTAACCTCAGTCCTGGCAACTTGGCTCTATAACATAGATCCTTATATTCACATACAAAGTTAAAAAGAAACAAAAATCAAAACAGCAAGCCTGTTTGACACATGAAAAGCATCTAGAACTGGCTTCACAAAACACATAATGATATTTGCTTCCAGGGCACACTGCTTTCTAAAGGACATAAAATATTGGCCATAAGAAAACTGCTCACCCCTTTCCTTCAATGGGTTGAAGACAACATTATTTTGTTCCAGCACAATGAATCCCACTGATGTACAATGTAGAGGACAGAAACCTAAAAACCAACATAGACATATTCAGCAGG